TGAAATGATAAGTAGTTATTACGTAACGTACTTCAAACAAATGTTTGTATTTTTAAATTAATTTTATGTTATGTTACTTACCACGACTAACTTTATGCCCCCAAGAATAATTACCTTTAGGTCTGTTCCAACTCATCAAAAACCAGCCTATATAAAAAGTTTCGAAACCACTCTGTATACGAATTTTGGATTCTAGGCACAAATTTCAAACTTCGCGCAGAATCGTGACTGTACATTGTACGGTTTCCTGCTGTGCTAGAACAAGGCTTTTGCCCGAAGTATAGAATGGTATTAATAAACTCTCATAAAATATACTATCCTTGGATTAAAAATTATGGACTTGTGTGGACAACTCGACTCGACTGATGGCTTACAAGATTTGCAAGACGTATTCGCTATTGTGTTGGCGTTGGTTGCCATCTCCAGACATTATTAAATTTTTGTTAGTTTATGAGTTAATTTTTAAAATATTTTGTTCCATTTGTTGCAAATCTATCTTTGGCAATTATATTGAAGTTCCCTCGTTCTGGTGTTCTGATTGAAAAATGAATTCGCTTTTAAAAGACTGGGATTTGGATTGCCCTATTCCAATATTTGAAGGTAAAACTTGATAATATTTATTAATAGGTAGGCATTTTATTAAACAACACTTGAACTTTATTTGTATAAATATTTTGTGTAGAAACAATTATGAATATTTTAGAAAGCATCTTTTATTTTAATTTTTAAATTTACGTATATTTATGCCACATATTGAGTAGGTACGCTTTTTTGTTTAGCAATGGTTATTCTGTATGATAATACTTATCCTACTGTATTTTTTATTTTATGTATTATTTAATACCTACTTACTATTTGAAACGTTTAAGAATTTAAGTTTTCTATCAAGTATAGTTGTTAGTATTGTTATTAAAATTAAAAAAAAAAAATGTAAATAGTTTTTTCTGTAATCTCTTCTGTATAGTATAATGAAGATGGTCTAACACACACCGAAACGGCATCTAATACAGAAATAATGTGATCGTGATCTTCAACGTCTGTTTTATTCGACCTAAATCCAACCAAATTCCCTCTGAAAATATTACTTGCGGTGTTGATACAAGTTGAAATATACGTATTCTATTACCAAGCTTTATAGATAAAAATAATTTTTCAATCGAAAATAAATATACATGGTGACACTTTCAAAACTTCCCACCCTCAGTTTTTTTTTCCTGAAAACCGCAAAAACACGTAAACTGCTTTTGCGTGGGGACATATTTTGACCGTTACTCCCATGACCATGGGTTGAATTCCCTCGGCCCCGCGCCCCCCACTCCAATATCTTAAATGGGACTATAGTTCAAGTGGCACCTCGTTTGAAACCGTTTTTAATGCTCTAAATAATCGTGTAAAAAATAATTGGAATCGGTTCATTCGTTCTCGAGATATTGATTGGAAGCCCTAGTTTGCTAAAAAAACTTGAGAATTTGAAAAATTGACACACTATTTGACTCAAAAAAACGAGGAAAATTTAAAAAGTTGTTGTTGTAGATGTTACCCTTAGGGCGGGTATTATAAAACTATTTTGAAAAATAACTTAAAGTTAACTTTGCAATTACTATGAGAAGTAACGTCATTCCAGGAGAAATTAACTTTTAGTTATTCCGTCGAAATAGTTTTTTAATACCTGCCTCTAGAGTCTTGAATGATAAGGGGGTCAAGTGGCATATCAGGTATTGTACGCTTCATTCTCAGATCTGTGTGCACTGAAGTCTATAGTTTTCAGGTTGCATTTAGGCTCTTAGAAATAATTAGAAGATAGATAATACATTTCTTTACAAATCGTGATTTAAGTCACAGGTATGTACCCCTACTTGATTTGGTACAAAGCTTTCTGAAACTGGTTCGGTGAATAATATAAACGTGAAAACGGAATAACCGATGCGTACTCAATGAAGAAGTTCAAATTGAAGTTTTGAGAACATTCGTAGCAGAGCCCACCTCATCTCCACGGACAGTATAGCTGAACAGACATGTCATGTGAGACTGTAAAAAGAGTATGAAAATGCAGTAATCTCATCCCTATAAAATGCAGACACTTCAAGCGCTCTAGGAGAAGGATTTTGATAGGAGAAAAGAGTTTTGTGAAATCTTGTCCAATCGAGTCAACGCCATCTATAGTCTTCCGCCGCTTACTGTTTTAGCGATGAATGTTCATTTTCACTAAATGGTAATGTTATTAAACGAAATTGTCGCTATTGAAGTGACGCAAATCCTGATATTTTCCGAGAAGAGCATCCCAGAAAGTTAATGTTTGGGATGGTATACTTGAAAATGCCATTATTGGTCCTTTATTTATTGACCGGCAATTTGTACCGCAATCAGTGGCGGCCAGTGGCAACCTAGTGTGGTTGTGCGCTCTTGGAAATTTTTTTGGAGGTGCCACGTCGTGTTTTACATTTATTTTGTATGTTGATTTTTTTTCTTTTTACTTTAGGAAAAATTATCGAAAACAAAAATATATGTATTTAAATGAGGCTTGAATGTTTGTATTCTAGCCATAATACATAATTGATATTGAAATTTATAATTAAAAAAAAAAAACCGCGAACAACAGAGTTGTCAAACCGCCAAAATGGTGAAAAAACATCGAAATATTCTCGATTGAGTGGAAACAACATTAGAAGTGTGTATTCAAATAGCGCACGGCGCATCCCTTTCATCGGGCGACATACCGTATATTCCCGATCAATCGCACAGCGAGAAAACACATCTACCCAGAGCGCCGAACGATTCCACACCGACCACCCGGACCACCAGCACAACCAAGCGGGAGAAAAAAATATACAAGACAGGCGCAGGGCGCGCTTTCGTTCCGTTCGTGCGAATTTAAAAATAGAAAAATGAGTAGATATTTATCCTAATTTAGAAAATTGGGTAGGTATTTTTTAATTGAAGTTTCTTTTCTTTCCAAAATTTTAATTTTATTTTCTTGCTTGATTTTTGGAGGCAGTGCGCGCGCACGAGCGCACTTATTGAGAAGCCGCCCCTGACCGCAATATGCTTGAAGAGACCTTCGATTCGCTCATAACGCACGAGCTAGAAACGCAAATTGATACAGAGGGTAATTCTGTTTCATATGTATAAGAGGACCTGTTATGATTACAGCAGGACGGTGCTCCCGGATAGATGGATTGGCAAAAGATGACCAATTGAATGGCGTTCAAGATCACCGGATTCAACTCCTTTAGACTTTTTTCTTTGGGCATATCTCAAGACTCAAATCCATTGTTTATAAAACACAACCTGCTGATATTGATGATCCTAAAAAGCGAATTAAAGCAGCAGTCAATTCCCAGTGACGTTATCCGAAATGTTAGAGAGGAATTCCAAAACAGACTTTATCACTGTTTACAGGATAATGAGCAACATTTTCAGCGGTTATAAAGATCTACTCAATTATCGTGTTATTTTGAGAATAGAAGTTCTTGTCATAAGTTAAGTTCATGTTAAAAGTAAGAGTAATGTATGCTTGTGAATGAAATTAAGCTTATTCCTAAAACAATCAAAACTATTTCCTCAATTTTAAGATTAGATTATTTTAAATGGAAGTGAAATGTGTGAATAGATTTCAAGAATCAAGCATTATAAAATAAAATACTTCAAGTTCTATTTTATTTTAATAAAATAGATGACTTCTGGACTATCGAAGCTTGGGGGCTCACCTAAAAATATAATCGACAAAAAATTGTTCGTAGGTTTACAGTGTAGTCTGGATATAGTATGAACTCGAAAAGTGCATCATATTTGGTTCACTATATCCGAGTTTTACTATAAACGGTAAAAAATTACATTATTGGTCTTATGAGAATCAATTTTTATGGAAATTGGGAGAAGCGATCATACCTAATAGTATATTTGGGAAATGGTTGGTATTTTATAAAGGTTAGATTTTCAGTTGATTTTTAATTTACCTTGGTTTACTTCTGATTCCAGCAAAGGAAGCCAAGTGTTGCTAAATGCTGTTGATCATGAAGCAACAAATTTCTCTATTTATTTAATAAAATTAATGCATGCTCTCTTTAATTTTACGTGTTTTGGAAAAATGTTCCTTTGCCAGAATGCTGGAGGCATTCCAATTAATTTGATGGTTATTGTCGAGAGCATGTTGGTATATTTTTGGTTCATTAAAGTAGTAAAGTTATGTAGTTCATGTGTTCTTTGACACGTTTTTTTAATGGCCCACGAGTTTCACCAATATAGAATTTATCACATTGATTACATGAAAGTTTAAACTTATTTTTTTAGCACAAAGAGTTCCATCATTTGGTTTTGTTTTTGTAATTAGTGAACCTATTGTATTTTGTGTTTTAAAACTGGTGCGTATGTTGTATTCTTTACTTAATTTTCAAAGTTTGTAATGCATTCATTTGTTTAGGAATTGTTCAGGGTATAGTCGTTTTGCTTTAGTATATTTTTAATGTTTTGTTTTTCTTTGGTAAAAGTTTTGTGAATAATGCATACTGTTATGGCTCTGTCGTATATGCCTTTAACCACATTTTTTTTTTGTCGACCTATTCCTTTTTATTTGAAGGACATAACTGAAATAAGATTGTTCTAGATATACATAGTAAAATATGGAATGGAATGAAAACATGAATCGGATGGGCGATGTCAGAATGGCCAAAATAACCGGCCAAATAACTAGCACATTAGTAGCCAAGAAACAAAAAAAGCAAGCAATTCCATACTTGCATAAATGATGCAAAAAGATGAAGATGGTGATAATTGATAATGTTGAAATAATAATAATTGATTGTTCTTCGTGCTATAATATATATCTACTAGAAAAGAATACTGGCAGGTGGATTTTCGACAACTTGGCAATGTAGCCACTGCATGCATCGGCATAGAGATAGAGGCGGATAGAGGCATAACGACGCCGCGCGCCGCTGCCGTGGCGGATCGTTTTGATCCTCTGCCGCCGCTCGCTCTCGCTCACACATGGCAGTCGGGAACTCGGCAATATGCCTGTCGTCAGCTTCAGCTTGCACACACGAAAACCAAAACGCGCATCAGCACCAGCGCCTTCATCAGCGTCCGGACGACCCTAGTATTCGTCGCCGCCGCGTCGGCAGTAGCAAGCGTCGCCGTCGTTTAGTTATAAATAACAGACTTTTAGGTATAACGCTATTACCGTCGCGGTTCTCGAGTCATTTTGGTGTCGAGCACTCTTTGTGACAGTAGCATGTTGTTGTACGATCCTGTGCTGAGTCTGAGTATTCCTCATTGTCAAAGTTATAAGTGGTTGTGTGCGTCGAGTTAGTGTCCCGTTCCGTCGCGCAGGGCTCGGTGAGTCCCTTTCACCCCGTGTGAGTTGGTGGTAATGGAAACTGCTGCGCGGCCACCGTGACCCGTGCATGCGTGAGTGAAGTGACTCTGAGGAATGTTCATCCCTGACACGTTGCGCAGCTGCATGGTGGAGCCCGATGTGTCGTCGTACCTGCAGACGCCGTCCTCGGGACAGGTGCCTACTCGCTGCTACCCTCCCTCTCCCCCCGCGCCCGCCGTCATGCGTGGTGATATGTAATTAACATGATTAACATGAGTGTTATTCTGTTTTGTATTTTATGTTTGTTGTCTGACCTGACCTCAAGGGCCTTAACGAAACCCTTTTGATCAAGAGCGAAATTTTATTCTACGTTTGCCAATATATATTTTTTTATAATTCTATTTTGAGCCCGCATGACTACGCATGGAATCTTTTCATACAACTTTGTCTAGTTTGCATGATTGATATTTCAAATGACACAACAAAAAATAGGTTCATGAATTGCTTGCATCTACTCAAAATTCTAGAATTACAATATACTTAATCTTTTGATACGACTTTGAAGTTTTGCTGCAATGCGAAATGCAGGGTTACCTATTGGTGCAAGGTTTTACCACCTTTCTACCGATAAGATGCTTGAAGCAGTATATAACTAATTTAATCTGTTACAATGTTTCATTTTCCGCTTTTGTAAAAAAAATTAAACGAAAATTTGGTAGATCCATAATTAATTAGTTTTTTGTTTATTGTTTTCAAATATAGTCACAGTAAATGATTTCCGGGAACCATCATTGAACCACCGTTTTCGATTATCATCAGTGATAATTGGAAATGCAGAGTTGGGGGATGGTTCTCAACCTCGCTAAAGTTTTCCTTTACATCTGTTTCATCGTAGCTCTGCAATTCCTGAGCAATTCTCATTGAGTAGCCAAGATTTTGTTAAGGGTGTGCTTTTGATTTATCTTCCAGTACCTAATTGACAAGTACCTATTATGAAATGTTCAAAATTCTTCAGTTTCCCAAGTTCGAGGCTCACGAGGCTTCTAAACCATAACAGGCTCGGTTGAATGGTGGCAAAGTTGATGAAATGATGTTTTAAAATTTGAAAAATTGCGAATACTTACAGAAATATGTGAAAAAACTCAAAAATTGCTATTTTCGTTCCAATTTGTTCTTAGCTTCATTTTAAAAGATAGAGAAAAACCAATATAATACTTTTCGAGCTTTTTTGAACGAGCTTCAATGTGCCACTTATTTTTTCATTTTCCCAAAGCTATCATCAATAGGTATATTTTTTTCAATACGGGCCTGGATTTTTATCACCTAATTCCTTTGGTTTTAATATTTTTAAATAGTCTGCTTTTTCGAAACAGAGACCAAATTTCTGGATGTCTAATTTCATCCCAATTTTAGATAAAAGACGAATATAATCAAATTGTTTTTATTAGTTGAGAAAAATCAACAATAATCAATTATTCGATAGGATAAAAATTTCTATTTAAAGGAGATAACCAAAAAAACACCCCTCCATTTCAAATTATTTCTGGCAAATCTTTCCAAGCTTTGGAATCGATCTTTCAATTACTCTAGCTGGGATATACAGGGTGTTTGGCGGAGGGTTAGCCAAGCTTGGTGGGTGTATAGATAGGCTCATTTCAAAGATATTTTATCAATACACTTGTGGCCTTAAGTTCCCCTTTTTTATATGATTGCTTTCGTATTGTTCTCAAGAATTTTCAAAAATTGACCTTTGTCCTGTAACTTTTTCTTTTTTATGTTTATGAAAATGTTTTTTTCGTGCGTTTTTTGGTCTGTGGAGTATCCTTGATCATGATAGAAGTTACAGAAGTTAAAAGAGCTATTTTTGAAAATTCTTGAGGATAATACAAAAGTTATGATAAAAAAAAAATGGGGACCTTAAGTGCACTAGTGCTTTAATAAAATATCTTCGAAATGGGCCTATCTATACACCCACCAAGTTTGGCTAACCCTCCGCCAAACACCCTATATAGAGAAAACTTCTCTCAATAAGTTTTGTTTTGAGAAAGCAATAGCGTTTGACATATTTCTCTTATTAAAATCCATCTTATGACTAGTCTCACATGAAAAGTCCGGAGGGTTTAAATCGGGACTGCATGCAGGCCAACGAACTATTCCCCCCGATTACCTTATTCATTAGTTAGGGAACACTCGGTTCAATAACGTGCTTACAATTTGTGCATTATTTGATATTTACTTTCACCATATTTTATTAGGCACAAAATTCTATTACAATAATGGACATAACAAAAAAAAAAAACGCTCTCAACACATAATGGGAAAAGTCTAAAAGGTATTATTGAATCTCAGCTTCAGCTACTGGTTGGTTAATTTACCGAAACTATATTCAAAAGTAAAAATTTTTCGTGAAGAACTAATCAAGTTTTATTAAAATAAATAATTACTTTCATTATTTTCTATGACTTGAGTAAATACCTAATTGAACTTTCTTCTAGTAGTAAGTTCTAACACATGATTTTGAAAAAATTTCACTCATCAAATTAGGGTGTTTGAAAAACAACTATGACGAAATACGTTTGTGTATGTTATCCCATTGAGTCCTAGACCTATTTAAAGCAATTTGAAAGTTTCGTCGATCTGTTAAAAATTAATTCGATTCTGACGGCAAAATACTTTAAAAAATGATAACTGATTCAATTTTTAAAACTCTAATGGATTGTTTTGTGTTTTGAAATTTGTTTTGAAACATGATATATCCAAAAATTTCGATATTCATTGAAAATAAATATACATACATAAGTACTATAAACTTAATTCTTTCAGCTTGCTAATAACTATACAGTGTATCCCAATTTAGATCCTCAATTAGGATTTTGGTTTTTATAAGAGGTAGAGAGTTAATTAAATTGAGAAAGTTTTAGAGGATTTTATGTTGATTTAGAATCTGCTTTTGAATTGTATTAAAAAAAAATTGTTTTCAAAATAACTGCAGAATTTATTGTTGTGTTATTGTGTTTTTGATGGGTTCATCTCCAGTCCCACGGTTCGGCACCATTCCTCCGATGCTTTGAGTCCAGTTTGTAAGAGATCACACAGGGTGCCCTCGAACTTGTTGTTCAGTATTCCTAGTAGTTCATCCACCACTAAGCTCCACATCAGGGGTGAGCATTCTCCGCCCTGGGGAGTGCCTCGAGTAGTGCTCACCTCAATAGAAGACTCATTGTCTATTGAAGTCTCTGCTCTCCTCGTGGCAAGCATCCATCGAGATATTGTGTCGTTGACTCCCCTTCTCGTTAATGCTCTCTGGATGGCCACGTGAGATGTATTGTTAAAGGTACTAGCGATGTCTAGGAAGGCGCATAGTGCTCTCATCTAGAGTTTCTTGTATCATGCTCGTCAGTTGGAACAGAGCTGTCTCAGTGGACCTACATGCTCTGTTGGCGCGCTAAGTTGCGTTCAAAGAACACCTTTCCAATATAGTGGATCTGATATAGTTATCTACTGCCTTTTTCATCGTCTTTAGAAGGAACGATGTGAGGCTTTTGGTCTGAAGGATTTAGGGTCTGTCATATCCTTCTTGCTTGCTTTGGAATGAAACTGTCTCTTGCCCTTTTCCATATTGTAGGTCTATATCCCATCGCCATACTGTGGTTATATCTCCAAGGTGCGGCATGATGGCTCTGTTTTTTTCTCTTTGTAGGATTGCTGGAAAGATCTCGTCTTCTCTTGAGGATTTGAGAGGTTCGAATGTATTTAATGCCCATTCAAGCCGCTTATTAGTGAGTACTGTTTTTGCTGTTTCCCAGTCCTCCCTAGTGAGCCTCACTTGTTTTTGTTGGTTTACTACCTAGGAAGTGTTTGCTCAGAACAAAGAGCGTAGGTACCCTCTGGATCTTTCAGAGCCATTGTCGACTTGTTTCCTCTTTGGCCATTGCCTTGTGCAGTCCAACTTTTGAATGACACCTAGTGTAACGGTTTGCAAAATTCTGATGTTCAATTCTGAAACTTTAATGGCGCTGGGTATGCTGATCAATCAAATTATAATACCAGCCTCAAGAACTGTATATCCAGAAAACCAATTCATGGGCATAGGGTTTCAGCAAGATGGTTGTCCTGCGGATAATACTAGATAGGAGCAGCGAATTACTGGGCAACATTTTAAAGACTGAATAATTTCTAATAGCATACCATGTTTCTGGCCAGCTAGGTCCCAGACATCACGCCTCTGGACCTCGAAGAACAAGATTTATGAATTTGAATCCCCAAAAAATAATGAAATATTAGAGGCATTTTATGAATTTGAATCCCCAGAAAATAATGAAATATTACTAGAGGCATTGTTTTCTTGTCTAGAAATGACAAACACTCTGTCGTGTTTGTGATGCTGGAAGAATATCGATGATTTTAAACATTATCATGAGATTCCTCTTACAAATGTGTCTTGATAATGTCAAAGTTTGACATGTCAAATCGATAGTTTTTGAGATATTAATAATAATTAAGATCATAATGGCGAGGATTTAAATTCGGACACACCTTAGGACTAAATATAGTTTCCTACCTAAATTTCCGCATTTGTTTTTGATCACAAAATTGATACTTCACAATTACAATGATATACGCACAATAATTTTCAGGGGTGAATTCGATCGCATAAGAGTGCGGAAAAGTGAATTAGTTATAAATATTATTCTAATTTATACGTATGTAGTTGTATGAATTATTTTGTCAATAAAAATCATTAGCATGGCTCTTTACAAGAATAATAACATGTGTAATGCTTTTTGTTCTTCAGTTGAGTATTGCTTAAAATGGTAATTATTTATTTATATATTTGTGCTTTTATTGAGTAGTTAGCTACAGAAATGCAATTAGTGATATTAGTTAGCGTGCAAGAAATAAAATTTCGCTACTTGATCGTTCGATAGGTCTGACCGCTAACCTCGATGTTGACATGTTTGATTGATGTTAATGACTGCTCTCTGTTTCTGTCTCATATCTATGTGATTTGCTATCTAGTGGGGCGAAATATATATTTTGTTTTTACAAACCCCGAGTTATTTCCTTTATTAATTCGTACTGTTAAATTGTGAAAATTTAAATTATTATTAAAGAAAACGAACCTTAGTCTGGAATGAACCTACAACCAGGCATTGGTAAGGTGAAAAATAAAAATACATCTTGAAATCAGTCGTAGGTTCTGTACTTTTTAACGATTTTATTGGCAAAATCTCAGTGGGGTGATAAATAGAGCTCGGAATAAATTACTTGAACCGTTGATTCTCAAACTTTATATAGGTACCTACAGTACATTGTTGCTTAACCTTTTTTGCCGATTTTGGAAGGACGTAAGTTCTTTCCATTGCTTTTACGGATGTTAAAGACATAAATAAATTTTCGCCTCCACACGTCACCCTTATGTATCTAGTGCACCGTCATTATAGACCTGTTTGCATTTCTTTCTCATGCATCAATTCGGTATCTAAACATCTTTCCTTCGCAACAATGCTAAATAATTAAAATGTTGAAATAAGTTATATTCGAGTCTGTCAGAATTAATAATATCATAAATTGTCCTCATCTTTTCCGATTCCATCTTTGCTTCTGTTTTTCCTTTCTTCTTCTCCTTTCTATTTCTCCTCCAAGCTTTCTTTTCCCTTCTGCAAATTTCAAACGCCAGAAATGTTACCAATGTCTTTTGAGGATTCCTCTTTGTTAAGATGCAGTTCATAATTTATAACACATTCAGAATGCGCTGCAATTTGTGCTGCTGACGAGATCCATTTTCATATCATAGCTGACGTTATTGTTTACTATCTCACCTATAAATTCTAAGGGCGATTTACACGTATCCAGCAGCTAGCGCCAGTTTCACTAGCGTTCCAGTTCTGGCATCGTGTGAACACTTACTCGTGCCAGTCCAGCTCTGGCCGCCAGCACTGGAGCGAATAGAGTGTGTGTCTATTTTTCTTGCCAGTAGGATACTCGGAGTGAAAACTTACGACTGGCTGGACTCGTGTAGCCAGCCAAGAATGTACCTGAGGGAAAGATAAATTATTACATATTTTTCTTCGCTGAATTGGCAAATATTATCGCGTATAAAAACAAACTGTTAGGGTTCGTTGGGCGAAGAGAAGTCCAACCATATTTAAGTAGGTATAGCAAATTTTATTGCATTTCTGAAAAATTGTACGAACAACTAATTTTCTCCCAAGAAAAATCACAAGGCAGTAGTGATAAGGATCTTCAATATTCTTGTCGAAAGTTGTACGCAAAATCACGCTTGTTGGAAGTTTTCCCCGTTCCGATTTCATTATCCTATAAAAAAGGTGCCTAAAATAAATTGTTTTCATGATAAAGATTAAATTACGAAAATAAAGAGCTCCAAATCCCAATATAAGCTCTTCAGAAATTCATCTTATTGTCGTATTGAGTGTTAACCGGAATGCCTCGGATCAAATTCGACAAACTCATCGATATCCCACATGCTTAATTGAATTTGGCACGAGGTGTGAACGTAAATGACACAATAATCTGTTAGTAAATACTTCAAATATATTATAGTTTTAATTTCACTAAAAGTTGACATTGGAAAATATGGCATCTGGTCTTAAAAATAAAAACTATTTTAAGATGCATGCGCTTACGCGTGGTAACCACACCTACACAATTTTCGGAAAATTATGAAAAGTGAACCACATTGGTCGTGTCTTTCCTTTCGATGGGTGCGAAACAAAATAGATAATAAATAATTCGTCAAAGGTGCCTGAATGACCAAAATCATACAAAGATCAATCTAAAAATTTAATACAAATGACTGAGATGTTTTAGAGAATGAAATCAAATTGTTAGGTACTGCATATATTTGCGTAAACACATTAATGTAAAAAGTTGGACGTAATTTTATCTACTCTTATACAACAAGGAAAAAAAAATTGCTTCATATAAGTATTACTAAGTATATAAATAAATATTTAATCTGTTTAATTAGTCAATATGTTATAAAAATCAAATAATTTTAATCCTAAAGTAATTTAATTTATGTGTACTTTGTTATCTATATAAATACAAAGGGCTCGAGGTACGAAAATACATGCAGTTGCTTATACAATCATGAAGATGTGTACTCCCGCTTCAGTTCCTATAGAATCAGGATCAGGTGGATATTTATATCCGACTATTTTTAGTCCACAGTAAGTAACTGCAAAATGACATAGCAAAGAGAGTTCATTCCGTTAATGTACGGTGTTATAAAAATTAAATACAAAAATATAAAACTATTTATAAAGTCCATTAAGACGTGTGGTTTGTCGCGAATGCGACCCCAACAAACAATTAGATAAAAATATATATGAGAAAATTATTTCTAGAATACATGGTAAGCACACATTATCAGGTTCATTTGCTATCGAGCTTGGGTATAACGTGATATTCCCAATGCCTATATCATCTTTTATCATATTAACAAAACATCAAATTGTTCTGTGAAGTTAATAGTTTAGTTAGACTGGTAAATTACCTGTGAAGTATTTGACTCGTGATATTTTGTTCACCTTACTTAAAATCGTTCCCACTAAGTATACAGGTTGCTTTATCATCCCCAGTATGCTTGTATTTTCAAATATCTCTGAGAAAATCAACTTTCTTTCCTATCATTCTCCCTTTCTGTTATTTTATGTTAAATTAGGCTGTTGATTATGTTGCTCATATTTGTTGTATTAACAAAAGCTATTTCCTAATTCCCATGCTAATTCTTTCTATTGAATACTAACCGACAAATGTTTAGTCTTCTAATCAACTAATTTTGTATATAATTAATTCTTCCACTTCCAACCAAATTATCATTTCTTTTTATTGATTGTAGCCATAGTTTTTATTAATTATTGTATTTTAAGTATTTCTTTATTTTTTAATGTCGATTATTGCTTGATACGATTGCTTTAACTTAACTTTGAATTTATTAAATGCACGTGGTTTATTAATATTTTTTGAAACATTATTTTTTAGGACGAGTTCCACCCTTTTATCGAAGCCCTCCTGCCCTTCGTCAAGTCATTTTCTTACACGTGGTTCAACCTGCAAGCGGCGAAAAGAAAATACTACAAAAAGCACGAAAAGAGAATGTCTTTGGAAGAAGAACGACAATGTAAAGAAGCATTACAGGTATAGTTCATAATATTTAAATAAAATATATGGGTATTTATGATAAATTAAAAAAAAGGAAAAATGTGCGTTTGGAAATAATTATTATAAGGGTGGTCAAGAGGAAAATAGTTTATAATAAATTCGTTGAAACTTCAATAGATTTGATTAAATTAAAGTCACCCTGAGAAAAATACATTGGTCAGGTGCAAAAAGCAAACATATTTAAATGGGTTCATTTCGACATCTTACAAAAAAATACGAAATCCTATATTTATTGTTTCTCTATTAAATCTTTGTTTATTTTCTGGAGTCTCAGGCTATGTGTGATTCTACATGTCAGAGAGGTTTTGTGATGTCAGTGTAATGGATCGATTTGTGAATCCACACCCTTATTCCTGAAAGTAGAGTTTAACATTATTGCTCGTGTTGATGTTGATACTTACCCATCCAGATTCAGGTTTAGATGATTTCGTCTCATATCGTACAATATCATCGTCCTTTAGGGCTACCAGAAATGATTGCAACCGTATAACAAACAAGGCTAAGGAGTTCCACAACCAACAAGTGCGTGATCGACCTTCGGACTGCCCGAGCGGCTGAAGATCTTTTGGGTCTTTTGCCAACACCATGTGAAAAATTTCACATCTTCTACCTTTCCACCTTTAGAGGACAATAATTATTCCATTGTAGTCTCGTCAAAGGAAAAAGCAGATCTCTTTGCCAAACAATTTGCATCCAATTCCACAATGGAGGACAATGGCATAAGTACTGCCACACATTGGTCCTTACATGGACAACGTTGTATACAGACCTAAAACTATTAGGATATTTCTTCTGCAACTTGACACTGGGAAATCTTGTGGTTCCAACGGCATTTGACCAATTGTCTTCAAAACTTGCGCCCAAGAATTGTTTGTTTCTTGTTTCCACTCTCTTATAGTCGAGGCGTTTTCCCGTCTATCTGAAAATGTGCCAGAGTGCAGCCTATCCTGAAAAAAAAAGACAAGAAAACACTTCCCAACAATACTTATCCAATTATCGTCCCATCTCACTTATATCCATACTTTCGAAAGTAATGGAAAAGGCAGTCAACCTGAAACTGGTTAAATACCTCAAAGCCGATAAGCTCATCCCTGACAAACAGTACGGGTTTCGTTCTAAAAGAAGATCAACAGGGGATCTGCTGACATACTTCAGTCATACTTGGAACTCGACTCTTGAAAAACATGGGGAATCCAGAATTATAGCATTGGACATGTCCAAGACTTTTGATCAGGTATGGCACAAAGGTCTCCTCAGCAGACTTCCATCGTATGGTCTTCCGAACAAATTTTGCCATTGGCTGGGGAGCTTTTTGGAAGACAGGTTACTGCATGTTGTAGTCGATGGTGTGTCTTCTGATGTACTCCTTATAAATGCCGGCATCCCCCAAGGCTCAATTCTGTCCGGAACACTGTTTCCATTTTCATATGATTTGTTAAATGTTACAAGAAAACCCAATTAAAACGGTTGGCGAACGATAGTAGGCATCTTTCTCTTCTAACAAACTGTTTACTGCAACAAGTTCCACACGCCTCGTCTGAGAAAAGATTCACTCTATCAAAAATGATCTTGATACCATTACCAACTGGGGCCATAACAACCTAGTCAAATTCAAGTATTCTCAAATAAAAAATCTCTCGTTGATGATAACCCGGTTTTAAGGATGTCGTGACAAAATCTCTTCTTGAGGTGACCGCACCAACCAACTTGTCTTGGCATGAGCAAGCATCTTCGCCACAACCGCTTTTCAAAAATTAGGTTTCATGTTTCGTGCAAATAGCTTCTTTACTTCTGAACAACTTTTTCTCCTTTCTAATGCTCAAATCAGACCATGTATGGAATACTGTTCCCACATCTAGAGCGAAGCTTCCAAGCATTCGTTGCTCTATCAAATGCAGTACAAAGAAGTGCAATAGAAATTATCGATAATTCCAACTCTCACCGAACCGCAATCTCTTAAACCTGGAACACAGACGCAAGGTGGCCGACTTGTCGTTATTCTATCGCTATTACCGAGGAAGATGTTCTGACGATCTGGTCAGCCTCATTCCAGCTAAGAGAACTTATTTAAGAATCACACAGGCATTCCATTCGTATGTGGTAAAGTTGGCTACCCCGAGGACCTCTAAATGTAGGGCTTCTTTTAGTGGCGTACCGACCACCTCTGGAAACTCCTGTCTCCTACTTCATTTCCTGAACGATTTAACCTTCTTAACGTGTTTAAATGGAGGGTTAATAGTCACTCAATTTCTTCCGCTCATGATACCGCTTAGGTAATATGGACTTTGTCGTTTGTGGGCGGACTAATATTGTATATATTTAAAGAAAATACCTTAAATAAATTATCAAGTGCTGATCTCTATTTTCCCTTAGATTTAGAAATTATGTGCAAACAAGTCGATCGATAATTTCTGGAAATAATATGACGTTTTCTTTTTTACAGAATGAGAAGGCGGAAGTCAAACAAAAATGGGCATCTCGTCTCCTGGGAAAACTTCGAAAGGATATTACCCAAGAGTGTCGGGAGGACTTCGTTCTTAGTATAACGGGTAAACGGCCCGCGGTGTGTGTACTTTCAAATCCAGACCAAAAAGGCAAAATGCGTCGGATTGACTGTTTAAGACAAGCGGATAAAGTGTGGCGTCTCGATCTCGTAATGGTGATATTATTTAAAGCAATTCCATTGGAAAGCACGGATGGTGAGCGTCTTGAAAAAAACCCTGACTGTGCGCAGCCGGGACTTTGTGTGAATCCATATCATATTAATGTGTCTGTGAGAGAGTTGGACCTTTATTTAGCAAATTTTATTAATAGTCACGGTAAGTCATTACCAAAAATACAATTAAATAAATTTATTATTGGCATCGCTTGCCTTTGGTAATTGCGAAGGTACACAAAATAAATCAATGAAATCATAAATGTCGAATGATAAACTTTAACATTTTGGTAAGCCATGCCAAATAAAGGATTTCAATGGATGTTATTAAATAAAAAATACATGTTGTCGATTGAAATATCATTTATGCAAAACTTTCATGACACACGTAACAAATTTATATACAAATATCTCTAACCTATACTAAATTTAGATACGCATTATTATTAACCATTGGGGATTGGGCACGATCTAAAAATATACAAAAAATCACATCAATGCTGAAGCTATTTTTAAAAACACGAATATACAACAGATCTTACTTAAAACAGTGGCTTTGACCAAACACGAGAAGAACGTGGATTACAGATTTTTCTAAATTAGTCTCATTCACAATAAAGTCATATTTTTGCGCTGTTGTCCATGTTACATTTGCACTTATTATCCATGCATTCACTGGAAAGTGAGTGTAAAAAATCAATCAATAGCAATTATAAACTACTTTCTAAATTGCTATCTGGAATGCATAAATTGATAATACATTACACAAATATTTAAATAAGATATATTTATTTATGAACTACATGTGCGAGGTTTTTACATTGCTAACAATCTGGCAACATCGCAGGGGGTTCCCTAATATGTGACCGCCCAAGAACAAAGTCTCAATACCGTGGGGCCTGAAATAACAGTCAATGGGATATCCCCACGATGGAATAATCTAGCGAATAATGGCTCGACATTTATTGGGAATTCCAAAGGGAGAATTATCTGGACAGTTACAGGGCGATGCCCTAGCTATGTCGCGATTTCTGGGAAATGTTTTCAAATTCAAAAAAAAAAAACCTTTCGAAAAGTAGTCTGACATCTGACTGAGCTGCGAACCTGCATACGTAACAATATTGGTGTCAGCAGAGAATAAGTGAACGAAGAAATTTTCGTCTATGTTAAAAAAGAGGAAACAGACCGCCGAAATGGGAGATCAACTACATGCCAAGTTCGGTATTTACGTCTGATCAATCTTTTCGATCTGAATCTGAATCTTTGTTGCATCTACATGTAAGGCAGGTAAATCAGAACTGTTTGTTAATTCCGATCAGACCAGTCGGACGTGAATCTGTTTGCTCGGAGTATTAAGACCGACGAGAGAGATTAATCTGCGATTGTGAGATTATGTCCTAGTCTCGTAGTGTCAACGTAGTGTTTTTTTTTTTTGCAAAAATTTAATTTTTAGTATGCACTTGTAATCAGGCGCTTTTCTGCAAAAAGGCCGAAGATTGAGTGTCTAACTTCATTGTTGGGTATCCAGTTCAATCTTCTACATTTTTGCTGCTCACATCATGAAGATTTTGTGAAAAATTGTCAAAAGTTGATGAAACTATTCGAAAGTGCCTCTTGAACTGCATCCTAGAAAAACGTGGCACGATTTCTTCTGCATAGCCCTCAACTTTTGCAGAAGGACCAGCTTCTTCCTCTCGTCGTCGTCATCAAAAATCATACGATGAATAGCTACCGAAATTGCCACAGGAATAGACAGCCGTGAACAATGAAAAAGAAACACTTCAAAACACCAAAAGCACGAAAAATAGGAAGCAAAGAAAACCTAAAAAAAAGCACCAGTAAAAGTGAGGATAGAAGTGTGTTTATCTGGTCGAGCCGTTCGTTAATTGAAGTTTGCTCAGACTAATCTGTGTGCACGTGACCAAAAATCTGTTCCGGATGCGATGCAAATACCGAACTCAGCTACAGCAGGTGCTCGCTTTATTGAAACTTTTGTAAGAATTTAGAAAAAATACAGCTAGAATAAAACCGACTCCAGACAACTTTGCAAAAACAAGAAGAAAGTGGCGACATCTAGTTGAGGTTCGACTCCAGAAAATTATGCCATAACAAAAAGACTAAAGTCTTCCAGGAACAAGAACACATACAACCTAAAGAAAGAACTTAAAGGAAAGAAAAAGGAAGAAAAACAAATACATTAACTGGATCGCCGGATAGTTCTAGAATATTTAACAAGACAAGAACTCGAAACCATGAAAGGCAAAGGGAAGTGAGAACGGTCGGCGAAGGAGTTAAAGACGAAAAAGGAAGAGCCCTCGAAGAATTCCAGAAGCAATATAGAGAACTAGAGGAGGATATAGAGAGAGAGTTCTCGATGAAACCCGCTAGGAAAGTAGGTATCAGCAAATGGATATGTCGAAGACCTACCTAGACCATGTATAAACGAAGGTTCGAGGCCGATGCTAGTGCAAATTAATGGCATGAACAACAAAAAGAAACTGCATCCAAGAAGGACACATCAGTAAACATTTCGATCAACGTTCCTGTTCAGAAGACCGCGATGTGAAGGAAGGAGGTGCTGACACCAGAAACGTGACCTCGCCAGTGGACAGGGCAAACGCTGGCGATCAGTGATTTGGCAGCCCATAAACTAGGGTTGCTTTCTATCAAAAAGACCTGTGAAAGTTTCGGCAACCTTCAACATCAACAACATCAAACGGATAAAATAACTGCCAATTTGAGAAATATAAAATGAAAAATTAATGTTGGTTGTGAGACGGACTCTATTTTTTGTTCGAATATAGCTTCTCATTATTTACAGTTGGTGGGAAGTTTTCATCCTTGCTTGTCACGAAGTCGATAAAACGTTCAATCTTCTGAAACTCTTTTCAATAGCTCCAATATTTTCGAGTAATATTTAAGATCCCTTACAAAAGGAACTTCACTAAGCAAATCTAAGATAGAAGAACCACCATTGCACAGCATAAAAAATATGTTTTTGTCCATTGGCGTATCCAGGATTTTGGTTTGGGGGGCTGTGTTAACAAAAAATGTTGACCAAAAAAAAAATCGGCGCAGGTGAAAAAGAATTTTGAAGCCACGCAGCTTAGCCCAACGGGCCCACTTTCACGTGCCTCTCATTGGATAAAGCCAATTTTCATGCGCTTGTTTGCATATGAGAAATCCCCAAATATTTCAGGATCATTGTTAAGGTCATAAAGTCATAGAGGTTATAGCAAGAAATGGGGTAGTATACTATGTATAAAAATCAGTAAAAAATCTGCTCGACTTATAGGCTAAATGGTGATGGTATAGTGGGATACTAAATTATTTTCCAGCATAGTGTCTATAGAATTAGTAAGAGAAAAACAAACTGTAATTTGAATTTAGCGCCACAGCGGCGACCAATAGTGTTCAAACCGCTGACCATCTGGAACGCTGTTCAAAATGACAGCTTAATTCAACAGTTCAATGACGTGTAGTGTCGTGTGAATCGTGTGACATGTGACATTGTCACAGACTTGTTTATGTTGTTTGATGTAGTAAATTTGATGTTTCATTCTTGACGGTCAATGTCAGTGCAAATTGTGTGATCTCAAAACCGTGATGTGTTGCCAGATTGGAAAAACTAACTACGTCACGAACTTTTATTTTCACGTAGGGGCGGGGCTAAGAGGAAATTTAAAAAATAAAATTCCAGGCTACTGCGGTTTTTAGAAAGCAACTGATTACACTAAATAGTACGATACGTCGAGTATATCACTACGTAGTAGTTAAAAATCACTTGTATACTACCCCATTATACCTATATCCTTTTTTTATGTTAGTAAGAACGAAAATAGGTCATAAGTAATGAGTTGTGAAATAACTAGTTTCATGTCAGCCATGTTCTGGAATGATTTACAAATGAGAAATTCGGCATTCTCGCATTTTTGGGGAAGTGACGTCAGTTTCCAATCCCGCGTTTTCGCAGCTGTTTAAAAAATCGATTTTAAAATAATTTTATTTTCAAAAATAAGTATACAGATGTTATGAGAATAACTAATAGATAGAAAGTTGCCTATTTTTTTCATGAATTCACATGTTACATACATACCCAAACGTTACGCGCCTATAATTTTTTGCGGGGCGACAAAAATATTAGCATCGGGCCGCTTTTTTTGTGGCTAGGTGGAGAAATTTTGGGCAAGGATCCCTTCTCTCCTAGGAAAGGAAGTATTTCAGGGTCCCCATTCTTGAAACTGGGGAGCAGCGTTTCCAGGAAAACGAGTGTTCCGTCTTTCTCAATGATATGCAAATGATAATATAAGTAACAAAGACGGAAACTCGTTCTCCTGGGAACAGTGCTCCACTGTTTCAAGAATAAGGACCCAGATATGCAAGGTGATTAAGGTGAAGCACTGATTCCCTTGCCGCATTAGGCGCCCGCCATAGAAAAACCTTATTGTAGAGAGAAATAGATTTTATTTCTATTTTTTCTACGAAAAAATTTCCCATGTCACATAAAATACGCTGGAAAATATTAATCTAGACTTATTTTGGGGGGGGGGGGGCTGCAGCCCGGCAGCCCCCCCCCTGGATACGCCTATGTTTTTGTCCTATTTTCTGGATTCTGGTAACAACTATTATTGAGCCCCTTGCTGGAGGAAATTCACCAAAGATGATAATATTACACCTTTGAATCTAGAGAGGCGATGGAAAAAAAAATTAAACACCTTTTTATCAGCTGTGTTCCTAGATGGTGTTTTCACTGTTTTTAAATCCAGCAACATCTGCATTCGGTTCCCGTGCCTCATTTAGTTGATATTAAAATGCTATACCTATCGCGGATACACGGGGGCAGGGTTTTATGGTAATCTATGTTTGCTAATGGAAAATCTATATATTTCCTACTGGAAAGAGAATCTGAAAATGAAAAGAGAAGAAATCACAATACGGATGTATAGCGCAGATTTCCAATAAATGCCTGAAATCCGAAATCAAGGCCTATTATGGATAATCAAGAAAATATAAGCATGTATAAAAACATTTAGCTCTGCATTTTAGTTTAATGTACTTCAATATGTTTTGACACTTCGAATTTATTTATAATGGTTGACTTAGTTTGTACAACACTTTGTATTATGCGTCAGCTGGTCAGCAACCCTAAAACTAAAATTCACCCTCTTGCTCTAGTCTAGACTCGGTTCTCGTCTGAAATCTCTTTGGGTAATTTGCTAGTTGCGGCGACTGGAAATTTATGGACTTTTCGGAAGGTTCCGGGGGATATGCGGATATCGACGCGACGCGACGCCACCGTCTCTATGCCCAAATCCAGCTATGCCGGTTCAAAACCTAGCGTCGGCGTCGACGCATTCTCATTTCGCGTATTCTGCAATTTAAGGAGCCACAACACATCATTATCATTGTAAAATTTTCCCAATTCTCCTATTTTTATGCTAGAATATGGAATGCACATGACGCTATGCACATGACAGAATTATATTATAAACTGGATTTTTATTGGTATGTAAATTAGGAAATACAGGAAATCAGTACGATATGAGTTATTGAAACCCTATAAAATTTAAATGTTCCTTTCTGGCGCAAATGGCGATAGAAATGTAATAAATTATTTAATTACTTTTTATTCTTTTTGGCATAACATTGAATGATGTTTCCAGGCCATCCCGTGTCATTTCTCTATTCATAAAATTTTGATTGGTTGGTTTTCTTTTCTATAATTCACAAGTCTTCTCTGAAATTTTTTTCACCCTTAATTGTATCTTCTCTCAACGAATTCACTTCCTTCATATCTTCTACCTCTATCCTTAATTAGGACTTCATATCTCACCAACTCTTGTATGGTATTAAAAAATGTGAAACAGTTTGCCGACGGCACCACTGACTTTTTTAAACCAAGGAAAAGCAATAAGGTGAAGTAATGCAATTCAGGAAATCATTAAATTTTTAAAGTTACTGAAGGAATCCGGAAGAAAACATAAGAAAATTAATTCATTAACCTTGACACAAAGTTTTCCAAGAAAATTTATTTTAAATATTCAAAAAAAATATATATAATACTCTCTGATCGCAATTATTCAAGACATTATAAGGAAGAAAATATTTTATTAAAATAACTACTTTTTATTAAAATATTTTAAAATCGAGTGAGTGGCTGTATCGCTTTGTATGCTCGTCGAAGAATCAGGAAAATCAAACCAGTGTACTTCGAGCAAATATCATATTATCATTATTATTTGCTCGAAGTACACTGGTTTGATTTCCCCAAAATATTTTAAGACTTTCAATTATAAACGACCATAAAATAAAATAATAAAAATAAATCGGATTTCAATTAAATAGAGTGTTATGTGATAATTAACAAGTTACATAGATCGATCGCACATTGATGTTGCATCTCTAAGCGAAACCAGAAGAGCAGGCGAAGGTCAACTTAAGGAGCACGGAGAAGGCTATACGTTTTTCTAGGAAGGAAAGGAAGAGAATGAACCTCGCATCCCCAGAGTGAGTTTCACCATAAAAAATTTATTAATGGATCATCTTACTGAGCTTTTATCCGGAATATGCGCAATACTGATGACACTGCGGCCAAACCTCAGCAACAACCAACAAGCTACGCTAATCAGCGCCTACGCTCCAACCATCACAACTGACAGGATTTTTTTTTTTAGATTTCTTGTGAATGGTCCGATGTCGGCCCTTCCACTGCGACTTGCGGTCTATTGTGGCTTTCTATGAAGGTGGAGATAAGTGTGGGGAAGCATGGTTTATGTATCCGGGTTGAACAACTGACTCCCCGAAAACAGCGTGCCTGATTCTAGCTATTGCCGGACACGTGCATAGGACATGTTCTGCAGTTTCGACCTCTTCCATGCACAGGCGACACTCGGCACTTTGTGCTATTCCAATCCTGATTCCTGTGCATGTGATAACGGAGTCTGCAGTGTGAAATGTACAGACCCACCAGTGCTTTGAGACTCTTCCTCCCCAATTCCAGAAGTATGTCTGTCACTTTCCCCCTTTTTGGACAAGGTACAAAGGATTTTGCATTCTAATTTCGTTTAAGCTCGGACCCAGCCTCCGCAAGTTGGTCCGCTTAAACCTTCTTGTTGTTTGCAGTTCCATACTGTTTTCGTGCAATGTATGGATGCCAGTGCTTTCAGCGCAGCTTGGCTATCAGAAAAGACTTGTGCATCTGTTGATTTTCCAGCAGCTTTTTCGCGCCAAGCTCGATGGCCAGCAATTCGGCCTGAAATATGAATGCTTTCTTGCCAAGGCTGATCGAAATTCCCAGCCTTGGTTTTTCACCATATACACCCCTACTCCGACACCGTGTTTAGTTTTGGAGCCATCTGCCATCTGCTACAGTTTTAACAAGGAATAATCTAATATAAAATAAGTCAATTGTAGTCCCCAAGGAACCTCTCATGCGGCGTTGCCAGATTGTGCACAATTTTCCCAAGTTAGGGAAAATATAACTTTTCTTTCCCAGGAAGTTTATCAAAATATACCCTCAGCTGATGCGTTTGTATTCTCCGGTAGGTCTCTAATAGTTCCCTCATTTTGACCTATACGTGCGTTGTATTTATGTTGTTTTATTTTCTTGTAGGCAATTTGACAACTACTCGCATACTGCATCAACTTCTTCTAGGGTTGAAGTTGGTTCATACACATTGAATGAATTTCACACTGTCTAAACATTTCAGTTTTGATTATTTCATCAATGATGAGTGTTAAAGTAACAGTATTTTCATGTTTAGATTTAGGTTTTTTGGTAAGTGCCATTAACTGCAGTAACTCGAGAAAATGTTGACAACTTTTTGGCACACAGCACCATAAATGTTACAATGTATATTCTTGTTTATATGTACTTACCCTAACACGTGTATTTTTTGTTTCAGAGATACTCAGTGGGGTGTGTTTCAATAATAACAATAACAAAAAGGAAGACGATAGGAAAAACAAAGGTAATTTTTTTTATAATATTATTACCTACTTAATATAGAGATCAAAAGCTATGTGCATGCATAAAAAAATTATGTAAGAACACCAAATCAAAATTAAATTCATATTTTTTTCTCTATGAATAATTATTCTCTACCTATGTAACTGTATGGTTCAAGGCAAACGTACAATTAACATTTTTTGGCACGCCACTTGGAATGGTCCAATGAAAGACGGTTGCCAAGTTGACCTAAAGAAATATTTTATAATTTAGTTAATTTTCAATACATAAAACAAAATGTTAGGAGTTCATTCTGTATGGCATACACTGAAAACATTTGAACCAAGATAAATCGTGCTTGTTGATATCAATTTTCTTGGAAATTTTTTTAGTATGCATGTCCAGTTAAGTGCGGCTAGGAAATAATAATAATTTATAAAAGAATATTTCAATAAAAAAAATAATTTATTGTTATTTATGGTTGCAGGTTTCACTCACAACCCTTACAACGGTGTAATATGTAATGATATTATCTTAGCTACCGGAGTGTTTTCGTCAAAGGAGTTATGGAAACTATCAAAATGTAATGAAGCATACTAAATTGTTTTTCAACAATGATTATTTTTCTTTATTTTTAGCTTCGATATTACATGAACTCTCCGATTCACAACCAAATATGAACAACGTCAAATTAGAACATCCTGCGTATTACTGCAATAGTTATCCCGAACAGTCTGTAGTTAATTCTGAAAGATCATCATCGGTTGATGCGATGGTCGTATCTGCTACCTACTGTGAGTATTTTTATCATTTTAAATTTAACTATACATATAAATTCCTGTCTATGCAGTCAACAAACTAAAAAGACATAAACAACAGTGATGTGTCTACATTTAAATTCGGTTGATTACATTTAGTATAAAAGTAAAAACTTCATTCGCCAACTTGAATCTAAGTCGTAAAACTTTTGAACCAAAATGCGCTATAGATGTTTTTTTAAGCTTTTGAATTCTTAGCCATCTTAGCAAGCTTCAGCTAAACTACTAAAACTGGCCTGTAAATAGTATTCGCACTAATAAAAACCTGTGTTAGCTTATTTGCAGTGTTTTTTTTTTATGACGTTGCCATTTTAAGTTTAGAGCACGAACAAACCTATGCCCTCTTATACATATACATGCTCATGATGCGGAGTTGGGAAATATGAGCACGTGGAGATGATGATGCAACGGAAATGAATTTCCAAGATGAGAATGAAGGGAGTGAATAAGAAACTAAAAACGGGTAGCAGTCACTTTATACAAGCCAAATTTGATTTTCACAATTGCATAGCAAGGTGGAAGGATAATTGGAAAAATTATTGCCATACAGTAGGTACTTACACCATTTTGACTCGACAATCACCAGTTGCGCCTGTGTCACTATTTTGAAAAAGCGTGCCATTTCCCTTCGACTTTCGAGGACCTGAAAAATGTGTGAAAATTAAACATGTCCCGATCACACACTATTTACAGGTAATTCTATAATTGGGTTTTACGACTTAGGTTCAAGAGTTGAAAAAATGAAATTTAAATGAACAAATAATACATTTTTCTACCACTAGAGCTTGGTTATCTGCATTAAAGAAAAATAATGTTGAAATAGCTTTACTCCTTCCAGCTATGCCTCAAAATACCACGATAGTGTCTTCCAGTTCGCAAGCTAGTCCAAATACCTTATATTATCAACATAGCCCAGAGCCGCAACACCATCATCAAACCCAAGTGAAGTATCCAGAAAATGGTCATGATTCATTGTCAGATTTTGTTACTTTCGTATGCCAGGAAACCGATAATAATCAAAACGCACAAGTAAGGATCGTTTTACAAAGTCTGCAAGGACTATTGATTAATTCATTTCAGATGCAGTCTAGTTTATCGAGAAGTCCGAAACCGCAATATTTTCCATCAACAATGCTTCCACCTCCACCTTTACCGCCAATGGCAAGGCCTGTAGCAATTATAAGATCAACAGGCGAAGTTTCAATGAGCGGTGCAAATTCTCCTCCACCTAATATAACACCTCCGTGTAGTGATGCTTCACCACCCGAAGAGGTAAGTTTTTTTTGTCCAGTTTTGAGCAACATTAAAGTCATGAATGAATTTAGGTTCCAGAACTCAGCTCATCTCCGCCTCTCAGTCCAGGTAATCACGATCGAAGAAAATCTCCGACGCAGCGAAATTCTGTGCCTACAAGCAATCCTTATTCTCCGAGCAGGGATTATTCGTCATTTAACCACTTCCACGGCCAGCCAGGACATGTTGGTAGTTAATTCTACTATGAATAGTTTAATCTGAGAAGAAATAATATTAAACCAACCTAATATTCTTCTTCTTTGTTTTTCAATTACAATTCTCATTATCGATGAAAAATTATTGCTCCTCAGATAAGTCATTGCATTATATTTCTAGATGTCAAGACTTGTACGTTACATGTATGATTTTTTTTTTAGTTGTTCAGCTACCCCAGTATGAGCGGAATGTCTGGTGTTATCAGCCCTACGAATCTCAGTATGTATTCGCCCAACGTGAACACAGCTAGAGGTAAGTAATATTTGATTATCTAAAATAATGACTTTTGTTCAAATATTGAAAATAGTATTGGAATACTTCTCATACTCATCGCCATTTTCGATTTTAAAGGCTGCTAAGGGCGCAGCTCAGAAAATATTTTAGATCGTCCTATGCTACAGAGTCCCATTTTGATCAAAATCTGAATTGTACAGTTCCCGATAGGTAAGATGATTCCAACCTGAGAAAATACTGAGGACTATTAGCAGTGAGTAAAAACTTTCGAGCAAAGAGCTGTACAGAAAAGAGAATCGGGGGATATCAATTCGTCAAACCTTTCGTCCAAAATCAGTGGTCCGAAGAGGTCAGAACTCTTGGCAGCTTCCTCTTCTTCCTGTCTAAATTTCCAAAAGTTGTCAATCTACGGTCAAAGAAGAACTCATGCCAAAACTTCTTCTTTGGCGATGTTTGATTTGGCCGTTACTTTTTTATTTTTCAAACAACCTGCGATTTAAAATTCAGCGGGAGAATGGCCGGTTCGAACTAGAAATAATAAAGGCAAAATGTTGGATGCTTCTGACGGGAGATACGATAATTTTTCCCTGAATTCCTCAGGAAAACATCGGGTGTGGTGTGGGAGAGAGCTGATCCCATTCCACAACGCATAGCGTTGGTGTTACACCAGCAATCTTTCATTTATGAGATATGCTACAATTGAAAATTATTTCATTATCACACCATGTTTCAGCAGACAGTGTCTTTTTCAGGTGGATACAGTTGGTATCCCTCTAACTTTCTCATCTACAGTTTGGAATTCTTTCCGAATATTCTGGAACAATCCGGCGATTCTGTCGATACGTTTATGGACCCTCATGGGAATTTCAGAGGAAAATCAATTTTCGATTGATCAATCCAGTCGCTTAAGCACTCCTACCTCTCTTGATATTTTGTGCGTGAATCTAGTTGATGTCCAAAATATTAAGCTTCATGGGTGGTAAAGTGCCCACCTCTTGGGGTGTTTGCGTACCCCTTCAAGATATTTGAGCCTTTTGCAGAAGTGAGCAGAGCATTCACCAGATTTAATGTTCTGTAGTTTCTGTTGCTTGCTCCCAAGAACTGCAGTGGTCGTTGTCTAATTTGCCTATTGTTTTTAGGTGATATTTCACCGGGAAATGCCAAGTGAGCAGACCAACGACTGTTCTAATATGTCAAGAAGTGGGTCAGATCTCTTTGCTGAGACGGATGTGAACTTTTTTGCTTGTCCTAGATTTGGAATGGATCTCCAGTGAGCTAGGATTCGGTCCTTTTCTCATCTGTTCATTTCTTCGGAGACGGGGCTTTTCATTAGTTCACAAAAAGGCTCTGGGCATTGAAAAGGTGCTAAAGCGCCTTGCTTTGCGAGACGGTCTACCTCCTCGTTTCCCTCTATGTCCTGATGTTCTAGCACCCATATCAAGGTTACTTTGTTCTTCCTAGCCAGTTGCTTAAGGATATTTTCACTCTTCCAAACTAGCTGCTGAATTGCACTTGCACTCCTAGAGCCTTTAGAGCCCCTCGAATGTCGGACACTATACAGTGTGTCCGAAATTCGAGTCTCAAAATGGGGATCTCGCTTATTATGAGCGATACCAGGGTGGCTCAAATTAGGAAAGTTTTAGGGAATTTATTGCTCATTTATATCCTGTTATTGAATTTGCTCCAAAGTTTTCTGTTTCCTAGAAATCCGAGGAAAACTGAAAATAGCCAATTTTGTTTTTTGTCAATAATTCATAAATCGTTAACTTTAGACTTTTCTCACTTTAACATTATCAAGACACTTTTTTGAGACAGATATTTTCGTGATTTGAAAACATTCCGATTGTCTTTTGTTTTCGAGTTATTAACCAAAATTTTCTTATTTCTTATGGCGGCCATGTTAGATTTCAACAAAATAATATTCTGCGAAAAAAATCCTTTAAAATGATGTATTACAAGCTATGAAAAAGTTTTGCAAGTCCTTCAAAATACAGTTGGAACCGATTTTTTGCTTAATTTGGCAACACTGCTCATAATTATAAGAATAAAAGCAAATAAGTATTAAGTATAAAGTCTGTTTTTTTAAAGATAAAGGCTGACATTGATATTATGTTGGCAATACAATGTAAAATTGTCAATGCTTTCAATTTTTTTTATGTAGAAAAGGCTTTTGTTGCCAACATTGTTACTAAATTTTTGACTTGGGGAATTATTTAAAAAAAAAACAGATTTTAGGATTTAATATTAGGATCGGTATTTTTGAAGTCTTCTGGCAATTTTACTGAATAAAGAAAAAAGAAGTAAGGCGAAATGAAGTAAGGGATAGTAAAGTGAAAAAAAAAAATAAATAAAAAAACAATATGTAAATTTAATACTAAAATCGGTATGTATGTGAAATCAATCTTTCAGCTAAAATCATGTTTATGTTGTTTACATTACAAAAAAAAACATGTGGAATACCTTACCTACTTATTTTTTTTTTATCCAGTAAAATTGCCAGAAGACTTTGAAAATACCGATTCTAGGTATTAAATCATACTTATTTGGAGCATTTTTGCCGAATTTAGCAAAATATCGGTACCAACTGTAATTTTCAATGTTTTGCAAAACGTTTTTATAGCTTGTAATACATTATTTTAAAGGATTTTTTTTCGCAGAATATTATTTTGTTGAAATCTAAGATGGCCGCCATAAGAAATAAGAAAATTTTGGTTAATAACTCGAAGAAAAAAGACGATCGGAATGTTTTCAAATCACGAAAATATCTGTCTCAAAAAAGTGTCTCAATAATGTTAAAGTTAGAAAAGTCTAAAGTTAACGATTTATGAATTATTGACAAAAAACAAAATTGGCTATTTTCAGTTTTTCTCGTATTTCTAGGAAACAGAAAACTATGAAGCAAATTTAACGATAGGATATGAATGAGCAATAAATTCCCTAAAACTTTCCTAATTTGAGCCACCCTGTATCTCTCATAATAAGCGAAATCCCCATGTAGAGACTCGAATTTCGGACACACTGTATAAATGTGCTCTCTCAAAAGGCTTTTTTCAAGGCACTCTTGGGCACAGTTGCTTATAGCCAGTACTTTAGCTTGAAATATTTTGGGCGTTTTACCCATTGCTGGGGAGAGTTTATAGTTTGGTCCAGTTATTTCCAGGCCGACTACTTCCGTTAGATTCGAACCATCTGTGTACCACAATGATGCGTTGTCCGCTTGCGGTAGCTTTGCGCTCTTCCATGATTGGCGTTGGTTTACATTTCATATGGAATGTCAAAGTCCAGTGATGTTATCATATGATCTGTTGGTTTGCTTTGGCACTCGAGCTTTAGGAATATATTGAAGGATGGATGCGTAAGTGGTTATTCGGGCGTGGATCCATAAGTACGAGTTCGATATCTTCGTTATTTTTGGCCTTTCCCTTTCGGTATTGCCCGATTATGCACAATTTTGTCTCTGGCAATTTTACGAATAGGTATAACAAAATCACATAAGGTAATTTCTAGTTGCAAAACCACGAAAACCAATCCTAGGGTAAAACACAGATTGTAGTAGAAATCTTCCACGTCTTGTCTTGTTTTTCTGTCGCCAGCCACTTCAAGGAATTTTCTTTGCGTGCTTTGTCACACACGAAATCGAATTAGTTTACAAGAAATAAATATTATTTTCAGGAACGTCACGATCTAATAGTATCCCTCGATGGAGTACGCCACTCTTCAACCTCGACCAAGAAGACTTCAACATGATAACTCACACTTCGAATACCGAACAAAATGCTATAATTTTGATGGACGAAGGTGCAGCCGCAGCTAGCGGCGAACATACATCGCAGTGTTGCAATAATTCGAACTTAATCTGTGACGATCGATTTTTTCAAGCCAGTGAAACGTTAGAATCGAACAACTCATCGGCACCACGTGACACTGTCGATCAGCTGTCTCAACCTTCCAAGTCACCCTAGCAATGAACCAGAGATATGGAGGGTGGAACTGAATAATTATGTAGATTTTGTTGTTCAATTTTAACGTCCAACTAATCAATCGTTTTACCTTAGAATTTTTATACTACTGGTTAATGCAATACTAATTTTCTGTTCAAAAAGCAATAATAACTCTCCTTCATATCTCTGAGATATACGTCGACCAACAACGAACGAAAACTGCCTATACGCAGCTTTTCTCTCCAGTTTATGTGTGAAGTTTGGTTACATTTTCATTTTTTCTGCGCGCAAATTTTATGCGCAGCACCAACTGATTGGTATCTACGTTTACATTTTGATGTTAGAGAAAAGTAAGTGATTTTTATCTTTGAACGTCAATTTGGTTGGTTCTCGGAAAGCATAATATAGAAGCTGCTCAAGTAGTGTAGGTAATTTAGATTATATCAAATCGTATACTTATTATAGTAGCCACCGGTGCCAACAAAGGCTGTGCGAATACTCGTTTTTTTCGAGACCAGTTAATTCTACAAAAACCGACACAATATTAGATTTGATTGGCCTCTATAAATCGAGCACGTGCCCCCGATATTTGGTGATTATATGATCAGTTTGTGTCATTTACTTATCTAGTAATGATAGAGACCCCTTTAATTTTTTTTTATGAATTATCTATTAAGTATTTGACACTAATCATGTTAGTTTAATTGCGCCCAAATCTTACCCCCGGAACAATAAAATTCCTATTAAGGTGATTTGTGTTTCAATTTTAGGAAAGAAGATGGTTTGTTTTATTTGGTTAGTCAATTTATTATTCAATTTTTTGTTTGTATAAAATGCCCGAAAGTAAGCTGAAAATACTCATTTTAAAAAAAGATAATTTCGCTAATTAATAGATAATATTTCGGTAAAAAAAAACTACAAGTGACCTTAATTATTAACGAATGAAAAGACTTTTTCGCCTGATATTTTACTACACGGTTTGTTCAAAAAGTTTGGCGTTGTATATATACACATCTTACTGATTAAATCATATTGATATTGTATATAGTGATTATTGTAAGCGCGCTATAGCATATTTATTATGCTTGAATACCACCAATGATTAAAAAAGGACATCTTAAGAAATATACAGATAGGTATTTAGATATATGTATAAATGACGACACTTAAAAATATTCCACTTATATGTATGATATTTGAAAAAAAAATTGAAATTCAATTTTTGCAAAATATTGCTTAACCAAGATATATCTAAGCAAAATTTCTGAATAATTTTGGTGAGCGACACATCACGGGAAATCTTAGTTAAGCAATACCAAAAGCATATTTATAATTCCAGGTCAAATTAATATCTACAAATACGTGTAATATTTATTCAAACATAAAAAAAAATCCTAAGATGTCCTCTGAAATAAATAAATAATTCCCGTAAGTGGTAGTATTTGATAGATTCAAAAGCAGCGTAACAGCATTCTTATATTGGAAGACAAAAATGATTACAAAATACCTGTAAATAAAATAAAAAGGGGGGAGGTTTTGAAAAGCGCAGTCAATTCCGTTCCTATATATTGTGTAGAATATTGAAAGTTGCTTGTCTTCCACATTTAATTAAAAATAAAAATGCTTGTGATGTTTTTATTCTGTAAATGTCAGAGAAAATTATTTGCTTGTCGAAATAATTTTTCTAAGGACATCCTTAGTCTGTACGTCATTCTTCTCAAATTGTGAATTTTCTCGTATCCTTTTCAACGTTTTTGCTACATTGGCTATATTTTTTTTGTATCAAGAAATAAATGCTACGAATAGAATTACACTTAAGAGCATTGACTTTCGATTAAGCAGTTAAGGACAACTCCAGACGCTTATATTTTTGACAAAAAAGCAATTTTTGACACCCATTGCCAAGATCATAAAAGCTTGATGTGCATCTACTCGTACCATTGAAGTACCAAACCTTGACCCGGGCTAATAAAAAAATATTTTAAATTTTTATCGTGTAATTGTTCTCGAATAGTAATGTCACAAGCATAAAAAACTGACGCTTGTCACGAGTACAAGCAGTGAGCTGGGTCCGTGCCTTAGTATTACAATAATATTGAAATTGTTAATTTAGCAGTTAGAAGTGTGTTTGAAATGAGCTTACTCACTTTTTACTTAAAAATATGCTCCACACCGGCTGTTTGTTCATACGTTTTAAGGCAGCTAACTTTACATCCAGGGATTTATTATTACCCTCTTACATGATTCCTGTATCTGCAATTCAGTGGGTGTTTTCTAGGCCCCACCTTCAATAGCGTTTTTTCAATGCCAGTTACACAATTCCGCCCCTATATCGTACGGATTTTGCTGGAAGCTGATATATAAAATTTACCTTCTTGCCAAAGTTTTTTTTTTGAGGCGGTCCTGCCGAAGCCAAGCATAGCTGAGCGGCCGAAGATGCACGAATTTTAATAGCATGCAGGGACAATCAATGATCCACCTTGATGATCCTGCAGCGAAATGGATATCAGTCAACTGGTCCCATTGAAGCCTATGTGTTTAGTAGCCTGGTCCTATCTGCATGTAATAATTTCTGATGACCCGACTTGACATGGTTCAGTTGCCTAAATTGTTTATAAATTCGTGGCTCTCAATGTTATTACATTTTGTTGGACGTATCTACGTGGCAACAGCTCGCATCGAAAATTAGACCGTCTCAATTTTACCTTTATCAATGTTATAGGACAACGAACAACCATAAGTACACATATAAGGTATAGATAGCGCTCCACTTTTTCCAAAAACTGTTTCTACTCTCTGTATAATGTACAATATTTAGATCTTTCGTAATGTACCTGTTCGGTTAGAAAAATTGGGCAAAAGCTGATTTTTTGCTGTTGAAAAATCTCTCAGATCATTTCCATGGAGGAGAAAACTACACCATAATAATATGGTACAATCAAATTTAATATGTTTATTTAAATAAGAAAAAAAAATTGTCATTCGTTTTCCTTGGCCGTAAAAGTCAGCTTTCCCGAATTTTTTCCTACAAAAATAGCCAGACCTTGATATCATCGAAAAACAATTTGTAATTCGTTTTTTTGTTTTCTTAATAACATTTTTCTGATGTTTTATAGTTTATAGCTTTAAAATCACACCAAATAATGCCTGGATATAAATTTAGTGAAAACCAATACAAGTTGTTACACCTAATATCCTATTTGTAGTTATTTTTAGTAACTTTATTCATGAAGCACAATAATTAACATTACCTCATCTCTGTGCTAGAAGTTTCTATTTTATTGAGCAATTTTTTCAATCTTCATTTTTCTAAATAATAACTTCTTTTGAAAGCAGGTCAAATAAATAAGTTATTATTTGGGTGATTAAATTGATAAAAAAGTGTGTCGTAGTGACTGTTAAGCTTATTCCAAGTAGAAACTTGCCTATACCTTGTTTCTAAATTTCGATTTTTGCCTGGATTTAAGATTGAGCTTAAAGTTGATTATTATTAAAAAATCTGGCACGAATAAAAGGCACACGGAAATTTTTAGGTACCTACTTAAAAAAAACACGTCCTTCAAATTTTCAATTTATTTAGATATACAACTTCGCCAATGTACGTTCTAGAAAATTTAAAGATTATGTCTATAAAAGAATAATTTTTATAATAAAAGCTTGGAAACGCCATTTTATATATCTGTTTTGTTGGTTATGTTTTCTTGATTTAGGCGTAAAAGTATTAACATTAATTTAGTGAATAAGACAATAATTTAAACTAAATGTACTAGAGTCATTAGGTGAACAAGATTTGTACTTTTCTATGCACAAATGACGCTTCACGAATCAACACATTTGAAAGTGTTGTTTATTTTCAGTAACGTCATTTTATTTTAACCCAACTAATCATAAGCCAATAGAATTTCACTTACAAATCTTGTTCTATCTATGAAGTCTATATAATAAAAATATTTTATTATTTTGTTCTCTTTCTATTTTGTACAAATTGTGTGATACCCATTGAATATTTACTTATTTAATTGATATTGTATGTTACGTTATTGTGTTAAATTTTGTTAATTTAGTATTAATATTTGAAAAAAAAACATTGTAGGAATATTAGTTTTTCAACAAAATATCCAACTCGATACGAAACTTATTTTGTTTTTACGACACTATAAATTGAAACTTATTGTAAATAGCTAATGGAAAATATTCGTTACATTTTCGCGTATAAATATTTATAGAATCGGGTGATATTTAACCAGTGCCATTGATTGTTGATTAAATTGTTAGACGTATTTACGTAACTACGTCACGTAGTGATTATGTTATAATTATTAGCAGGCTTGAGATAAGCATTGTACTTACCTTTAATTTTAAGAATAAATCAGAGGGTTTCTTTACTTTGGTTATTTTATTTACAACAGATTGCGTAAGAGAAAGTATTCCAAATTGAATCTTAGTTAATGGGTGAAACGGTCGATGGGTGTAACCAACTCATCAAAATAAGAAGAAATTATTTTTTGCTTCTGTAATAAAAGCTTAGTTCAATACCTAAATTGTGTTGCACCAAGCAACAACAAAAAAAGAATGACAGGAAAATTATAATGAAACGAAACACGCAAATTCGTTTGAAATTTCATTGTGATTGATGGAATATATTACAAAGGCCTATCATCAGGTATTATAATCACCCACAAAAGTCGGCTCCACAACATATAATATGTTTGAACTGACAAAAAAAAACTTTTAAGCTTTGACTTCTTCGCAGTCACTCAATTTTTGTGATAAGCACATCTAATGAAACCTTAAATTTAGAAAAAGAACAACAATAAAAAGTTCCAAAATTATCTACAAAAAAAGTGTTTAATCGCAGCACCTACTGACTTATACTATGAGCAGGACGAACAACCGCCAGCTGAGCAAGTACATTATAGGCCTAGGAAAGTCCACTGGGTAGTTGCAACCAAGAGACCTATAAGAAGATCAAATGTGCCCCAAGCCTCTGTAGAGTATAGCGATTGTGCGTTGCTGGAGGACGGTCTTTATTCCAAAACCCGGACACGCAAACTACACAGAAGCCAAGGCATATCGTCCAATCAGCCTAACCTCCTTTTTTTTCTAAAAATGCTGGAAAAAATAATTCATATGCACATAAAAGACGGGGCTCACGAAGAAACCCCTCCACGAACACCAACACGCCTATCAAGCAGGCAAGTCGTGCGAAACAGCACTGCGCAATCTCATCTCCAAGGCTGAGAGATCGATTCATCTCAAAGAGATCACTCTGTGTGCATTCATCGACATTCAAGCGGCATTTGACAAAGCCTTTTTTGCTGTGATGTTCAAAGCGGTTGAAAGACATGTAATTGATGACACCACTTGTAGGTGGATGCGAAACATGCTCCAAAGCCGACAGATTCGAACGAGAGGCCTTGGACGTATCTGCAACTCTAGGTGGTCCACAGGAGGTCCTATGGAATTTGGTGGTTGATGACTTACTACAGCGTCTCAAATCGGAAGGGTTTCACACCCAAGGGTATGCTGATGACTTGGTCGATCATAGTCGTGCAGGGAAGAAGCCATAAGTGTACAGGGGAACTCATGCAGACATCACTTAGAAGTCTGCAGAGAGAGTGTGGTAAGATTAACCTCACAATGAGCGCGGAGAAAACAGCAATCATACCATCCACCCGATTAGCGGGAACCTATGACAACCTGAAGATCTTTGGAGAAAGTTTAAAAACCGTTTATGAAGTGAAATATCTGGGCCTGAATTGACATAGAAGCAATACATAGAGAAGATTATAAACAAAGCAACGATGTGCCTCAAGAGATGCAGGCACTTGTTTGGCCGTATGGTGTCAAAAGACTGAGCAAAAAACGACGGCAATGAGACAACTGTGTACTCTACACTAACTCGCTTATTTATCTCAGGAACCATGAGTAGTACTCCCACGGCGGCAATGGAAATAGTTATGGGGCTAGAGCCCTTTGATATCTTCATCAAGAGAGGCCAGCATCACGGCCTATACAGAATGAAAACGGCTGGAGTCTGGAAGCCACAGCCGAGTAAATAAGGAGACACAATTGTGACAGATATCATGGACAGCGAACTATTGGAAATGAGATTGGATCACATGAGGCCGACCTACAAGTTTGAAAGACCGTATGGGATCGAGTGCGACCCTAACATGCGGGATAAGAAAACGCTCCTTCTCTTGCTTGATGGACGAGTATATGTACACCGACGACTCAAAAACAGCAAACGGAGTGAGGGCAGGGATATATGGGGAATGACCCAAGATGAATGACAGCATATCACTGGGGAATGAAACCACTATATATCAAGCAGAAGTCTTCGCTATATATGCGTGCATCCAAAAGAGCATTACGCGAGGGTGTGAAAACCAGAATGATGCTATTCTCACGGATAGCCAAACAGCACTAAAAGCGCTGGATTCCTATTGCATCACTTCCCGAATGACGATGGAGTGCCTCACTGATTTGAAGCAGCTTGCTAAGGAAAACAAGGTTCGACTCCTATAGGCTCCACTCAGGGATAGAGGGCAGCGAAAAAACAGATGGGCTGGCGAGAGCTGGAGCTACAACGCCCATTTATAGGCCTAAAGGCCAGTTTTGTAATATCGATCCAAGTGGTAAAGTCAACACTGGATAAATGGCCGAAAAGACAACATTTTTCCCGTTGAAATACAACACCTGGATAAAATCACGCAAGGGCTGTAATAGGAAACCCTTCAACGAAATTAACAACTGACATGCTATGACTCATGCGCACAAGGATGAGACAAGTTATTTGACTATTGACAAGACACTGTCACTTGAGGAAACATCAGCACAGGATAGGGGAACATCCCTATCCTGAAATCAGACTATGTGGAGAGGAAGACGAAACAGCTTCACACATCATATTATTATATGATTCTGTGGCCCTATCATACAAAATATACATACTGTTCGGAGCAATACAGACCGTGGATAGACCCGGGATAGACTATACCACGTGGTGCAGGGAAGAGGACTCTAGTAATGCAGGTAGGAAATTGGGGTGCACAATAAGCTTACAGGCTGCAGTACATGGAAGGCCACAGCGCCTAGATCCAGCCTACAACCAACCAACAAACCAACCAACAAACCATGAGTTTGTATTGATTCTGGTCACGGCCAGACTACAAAATACGTGGTAGTGCTCTGTAAGACAATGAAGAAATACTGAATTCTCATTCATTGCATACCAGTTTCAAGCTTGTTAGCTCTCATCAATGCAACATAAGCGAAAGCTTACCAAATCAAAAAAATAGGTATGATGTTTTAAAAAGCAAATTCCTGGTTTTTCTGACGACCAGTATGGGTGTAATAGAATTCAAATTTTGACATAATATGAGCTATTAGAAGTCGGTGCTACAAATAAAGACTTGTAATTTCGTAGATAACTTTCGAGATTTATATTCCGCTTCTAAAGCTGCTTTTCTCTTGCTACCATGATCTCCCTGTTGGCCCTGTTGGCCTGGTCCTTTCTAGCTTGTTTCTGCGGAAAAAAGCAATTTTATTCTTTTGAAGGGCGGGGTACATACTGAAAATATAAAAGTCGTATTGCTGTTGCTGAGCTGCAAAACCATTCTGTTTAATCAATACCAAACAAAATTTCAAATTGATAGTTTCGCGAGTTATGAAAAATGTCTATTATCTATATAACGAACCATGACGAGACTATATTTAATATTACCCAGGGACAGATGGGATTACAGAAAAAAGCTTCAAGATACAAAGCTAAATTTCGAGAGCAACCCGACATTCCGTTGCACGTTTATGCTCGGACTCACAAAGCTCACGCTACAATGGGTGTAGCTGAAGAAGAACCACCAAATCCGCAAAATTATTTAAGAAAATCCTCAGGAAAGCCTTCTTATACTTCAAAAACACCTCAGAAGGAAAAGAAAATGTGCCGTAAGATGATGTTGCCACACAAAAGCGAAACTCCATTCGCTAGAGAACTAATTTGTGCCCATAAAATCGTGAGTACTTAATTAAATATTTATACAAATTCACAAAAACTGTTAATTTTTAGCATAAAAAAAACGTGCATTCAACTAAAAACTTTATCAAAGATAACGTTACATTTGTTAGGAATATGAAAGCAAAAGAACCAGAACATAAAGTGGTCGTTGATAAGGCTGGTACAGTAATACAACCAGAGGCGGGTGGCTTGGAACCAGTTTATATTAAAAAAAGTATATTTGGTCAGGCGCCAAATTATTTGAAAAAGTGAGAATTTAAAAAAAAAAATATCTCAAATATTTCAGGAATTGAAAATTTCGGATTGGTGTATTCTATAGATTAGTTTCGTTGAACAAATTATGTATTTTAGGTTAAGGAAGCTTCAAGAGCTAGAGTATCGAATGAAAAAAGATCACACGGGTAATAGATCAAGCTCAACACTCCTAAATTGTAAATGTGTTACTGAAGATGAGAGAGAGCAACTTTTAAGGGTATTTATTACTCCATTAATATCCAATTTAAAATACTGCTTTTAGGGTTAAATATTTTAGTTAGTAAATCGCGGTATGAGACAGCAAATAAAATACCTTTTTTTTATTTAGCAAGCTAGGAAGATAAAAGCTTTAAAGCCTTGAAAAATAAACACAAAATATGTACTGTCTTCATACTAAGCAATAACGACAAAAAAAAAATCTGTGAATATTTATTTTAGGGTTTGAAACAGAACTGGGAAGAATTACAGAAAATTTACCAACGATTACCAATTTTCACAGACACAATTCCTAAGAAGAACAAGAAAGCTAAGTTGGAAGCGGACTTGAAGCAACTGGAAAATGATATAACTTTGCTAGAGAAACATCCATATGTATATGTATATGATGATACTATTTAGAAAAATCAATATAAATTTATATCTTTACTATAAATCCTGTATTTTTTTTTCTGGTTAGATAGTAGTAAATTATACAATTAACATCTAAGGCAAGTTTTTATTTTAGATAGGGAAAATTGGTAGAAAAAAGAAGCTGCTTTTGAGATTGGGTTAATTACTTCTTTAGGATGAAGTAGAAGCAACATCCTATATAGGAAAAGCAAACATGAAATTGGAGTTAATAAAGGCATTCTTAAGCCACCTTGCACATCACTAAATGAAGAATTATATGTAAAAAAAATGTGAGAAGTGATAAGTAGGTACCTAACTTAAGACAAAAGCAAAAAAATCCAATGCCTTGCAATCGATGTTAGGCCTGACATCTGGCGTTGAAATAACAAGGTAAAAGATAAGCTGCAGATATTGATTTCTTAAACCTGCCATATTAAACTTGTTGAAATGTTCTAAAAACCGATAACGTTTGTCATTGATCTTTTTAAACCTTTCAATGCTTATCAGAAAGAAATCTATATTAGGAATGGCATCATGGTATATAATCTTTCAATATAGATGTCGATAGCAGCATCAGAATTATTCGTGATATTGGACTTATTTTTATGGACACACAGAAATAGTCACTCAAAAAATTATTTCTAGTTATAGGTTCCTACATTTGATTACAATTTTGTTGGATATGACAGCATAATTGTATTTTACGCTGTGCCTAATACATGTCACGATGATTTAATCAACGTTTGCTCAGACAATAAATTAATAATGTATCTACTTACATTGACATGGCAACAGATCGTCAAAGATAAATCTCAGATTTTGACTTGGTTAGGCAAATTAACTTTACCTATAAGGTTAAGAGATGAAAGTCGTTAAAAATTGGAGGGATAGTGTTTTATTTAAGATGACGAGGCACAATAATCGTATATAGCAGCTCAGCGAGGCAACAAATTGGCCATTTACCAAACGAGCTTAAAGAATGCTGCGAAAGTCGAAAAATGCGCGGCGGTTCTCCGCTAAATCGGCAGAGCGGGAAGCCAATCAAACTATAAATCAGTCAGCAAAAAGCGTGAATGACAAAATCCAAATGATGCCACGGGCACCCGGCGTCTAAAGATGCAATAAGCCACCCGAATACATCAAAACAATTTAAAAGTTTCATTTCACGCTGGAGAGAATCTAGTAAGAATTTTTTGAATAATTACAGCCTTAATTTTTTTTCAAAGGTGCTTTATTTCTTTCATGTAGATGAATGAGAGGGTGTCCAAGTAGGTTAAATCACTATCTATATCTTTTTAGTGCTACCTAATGGCATTCTAATAGGAGACAAGTTCTCTTGCTATGCATTGATGCTTTTGGGTATCCCATTTTATAAGTAGTAAAAACCACAAAAACTGACGTATTCTGAACAAAATAAGGTAGATAAAATTGATATCCCAAGGAATCGAATAATAGTCTCCGCCTTTACCTTGTATAAGCTTGTCCCTGAGAAATAAATGGCTCTATCTGCCACACCTACTATTTTACCCCAATCTTCATTTTAGTTTGGTTATCAGCATTACTGTGCTTTTTAGTTTCTATTCCCCAAATTTGGAGATATGGAAGAGGAACCAACAACGGTAATTACTACACGGGTACAATGGAATGATAACTTCCGAACCCAATTTATTTTTATAAAACGTATCATTGTTCGAATAAATATATTTTTTTATTGCAGGGATTTATTGTTTTAGTAGAGGGTTTTCTTCTAGGCATTTTCTACTCATAGATCATTTGGGCCTATAACTCAGTTTCTGGATTGCTTGGAGTATTACTTAGCATCACTATTTTTATGTCAAGTGACAGATTTGATCCTGAAGTTACCGGGAAAAGCCCAAATCACAAGTTTAATTAGTTTTTTTTTGTGTTCGAGAAATAGGTAGTATAATGGTAAGCTGCTTTTTCGTTTCTTCAATATTCCGGAAATAAATGAAAAAATATTGATATTGAAACCTTTGATTGAAAAATATTGAAACGTCATGATATCCATGTATGTAGTAATTTACAGCCAAAAATTGACAAAACTCATGAATGAATGAATGAATGAATTAGACGTATTGTTATACTGCGACCTGCATAGATCTATTGTGTCCCCCTTCCAGGTGCTTTAGTTGATAGTATTCTCACACAAACCACCTCATCCAGCTTTAAAGCAATTAGGCTGGATAGTTCTATAGATGGAATGTCTTCTCGTCCAACGGTGCAGCATCCGGAGCAGGAAATTCGTTCGTTCACGATCGCCTCGCACTTTGTGTGTGTGTTCTGGACTTCCCTTTCCTTCCTCACAAAACTGGCAGCTGTCTTCGTTTTCGATTTTAATGCTCTCAAGGTGGTCTCTTAACCGGCTGTGGCCTGTAAGGAATCCAGTGGGAATGCGAAGATTGTTTTTACTTAGTGATATAAGGTCTTCTGATCTCCCTGATGGCCCTAGAAGCTATTACCATGTTGCTGCTCTTATGTTCTGCTTCTCAACTTCTTTAAACCAGACTATCGATCCATATAGTAAGGTTGTTCTTACTATCATGGTAAACATCCATCTCAAGAGCCCTGGTTTGCCTCTCAAGGTTTTGTCTGCAAGGTTTCGGAACACCATGAGAGCCCTTGTAGCCTTGGAGTGCTTTCGAAAAAGGGTTAAATTTCACCCACGGGTGAGAATGGGTATATGGTCATGTGGTCAGAAGAGTAAGTTTTATCTGGTGTGTTTTCGAACGCACTGGTGTATAATTATAGCCTAACATATAAACATAACATTTAGGCCCAGTGTTCTGTACATTTCATTTATCTGTTTGTACCTATTTATCAACAATAACTAGTAGATTTGAATAATGGAAAAACTAAAAAGAATGACTGGAGTGAAATTTACCTAGCGCCAGAAGAAAGTGTGCACACTGGGTAGCACCCCGGATATTTTTGAACTAGCGTGAAAGTTAACCGGATATGATAGCAGTTCATTTTCGAACGGTTGGTGTGACGCCCACATTGATTTCGAACGCATTTCTGAGTTTGCAGGCCAGCGTTTAGGGTACACACATAACGAACGCAGGTAGCCTGCTTGCTGGTAACAAGCGCTTATAAGCACCAATAATTGAATCCAGGTTCAAATTCACCCGCACACAGACAAAGCAGGTCGGTGCAGATAAGCGTCGACTTTTTACCGGAATAAATTTGTAGTTCTTGGTTGCTACTCGGAGCTAGATGTGCATCGATAATGGATATCGAATTACCTACTGATTTCAGCGATTTTTCAAAGAAATGCATTGTGGGACAAACGACTTAAGTCCCATAACAACAGGAATATACTACAGAAAGAATAAATGCTGATATTCAACATAAAGTTTTCATTTACTATTTACTGGATGTATATACCTTGTTTCGTGCGTTGCATCCTTAGAAATGTATTTTTCGTCAATAAAAAGTCTTCATTTGAAGATGAACTAGACATCTTTGTAGTATGGAAGTTGCTTCTAAACTAGCCGAAAGCCGGCGTTCATTGTGTACTGATGAGATAAATTGTAGGCGCTGATTTTTGGCGCTGGAGATAGGCGCTGATTAACCGGCTCTCTTTATGTGCGTACTATTACAAACACAGAAACATGTTTCCTGTTTAACGGCAACTAGCGCCGATCGGCGCCTATAAGCTTTTATAATGAACGCGTGTTTTTCAATGAGCAATAACACAGTGCAAACCGGTTCCAGCTTCTCAGTACCGATAATGGGCATAAATCGGCGTTACCGGTTTTACCGGAACGAATTTTTAGTTCTTTTCCGCCTTGAAAACAATAAATGACAATAACAATAAACAGATTTATTTTAAATTTCATTCAAAATAGTTGGTTAGTTTTGAGACACCCTGTAATATTAACTTTTACTTATTATGTTTCCTGTATCGCTTATATTCGTTACTATACGATATACCGATATTTTGTGTTCCAATTTAAAAAATCGTACAAGCTTCTGCATTTGGCGTGGCTTGATATGGAAGGGTACATAAAATGTTATCATTTCACTTGAAAATATTGATTGTGTTGGGTTGTCAAACTTGACAGAACTAATCGCAACTAACCCAACAGTCAAAAAACGTTGGATTAAAAATTTGCAAAAATAAACAAACAAGAAAAGTAAATGAAAAGCATAACCGTTCATAAGAAATTGAACCCTGGAAAATAATTTGAGCAATTGCTCATCCGCCAATATTTGAAATTAAAATCCGTGAATCGGCGCTAAAGAAACTCTCAAGGCAACGCGTCCGATGGTGGCTAAAGTATCCCTTCCTGAATGAAATAGCGCCGTAATGGCCGTTTGATGTTTAGGCATTTCTGTAAATGCTGTATTAGACATTAGGGGTGCAGCCGCGTCGGGGTTATATTCAATTGCTTCCCAACAGCCACCCTAATTAACACAATGTAATTAAATCAATTAAAGCCACAGTCCGCCTGGCTGGGATTTATTTTAAACTCCTAACCAAGATGCTGGAGCTAACCCTTTCGTTCGCTTTCCTTCTCTCTCTCTTCCGACGCTATTACTCTTAGAATAATCCAACTTTCAGCCCTGGACTCGCCAGAATTAATTTCTATTTTGTGACGGTTATAGTATTTTATTGGTTTTAATAGAAAACTAGAAATTTTAGGGGTTTTCAATATTGTTCAATCTACATTGAGTAAGGAAGATTTAGCTAGGATTTCTTATTTGAAACTGTATTTGAGAAATTTAAATAGTTTGTTTCCCTTCCAAAAAAAAAAAAAAAACAGAAAATATATAATATGTAATACGAAATCGGAAGTGAAGAATTACGATCGGGTATATAGTGCGGTTGCTTCGCTTTTCGGAATATTCAAATGAAATAGGGGGTGTCGATTAAAATTCAGTATTTCAAACTCCATTCGATAAAAAAATCACAAATTTTATTTCGCCCGAATGAGCCCGGAATAATGATCAGGCTCGGTCGCAAGGCACGAAATTTTTATTTTTAA